CCAGAAAAACTTCAACCTTATCAGGGATGAAGTCCTTGAGGACGGCTACCATGGCTCTCTGAAAAACGGCTACCCCATTAGTCCAACCCATAGGGACAACCATCATTTGAATTAGTCCCAATGGCGTATGCATAGCCGTGAGGTGTCTGTCCCTAGGGTCAAGCGGTACCTCATCATAGCCTGAGAACAGATCACAGACCGAATAGATCGACCTACCTGCTGCGCCTTCTGCCGGTAAATCGGCGTGTGGCACGGAGCCCACGTCTTGTATCATCACCGCGTTGACCTTCTGAAGGTCCTGGATCCATCGGATCTTGCCATTCGGGTTCCGTAGAAAGAACCATCGATTAGCATAAGCGCTGTCAGGCGGCTCCGCAACGTGGGAAATCATCTTTTCTTTCAGGAAACCGATAACTTCTTCCTTCTCCTTCTGGGCGTATTTTCATCCCGCGTCATTCCAAGGAACATGTGGAATCGTATAAATCCTCGCTGGCTTAGCGTATCGAGGGTCAATCCTACCGCGCTCCGCATCGCTGAAAGCTATGGCCTTATCACATGTCTTCAGGATTTCTATCACACGTTCTCGCTCCTGTGGGGTCAAATTTCCATCTCCGATGTCCATTCCTGCTATCCTCTCTTCCGTTAGGCGTTGCGGCTCGTTTTTCTTTCTTTCTTTGATTTCTTTCGCGATCTCTTCTTCTGATACCCCTTCCAGTGCCGATCGCTCGCGGCCTACCGCCGCTGCCTTAACTTTTTGAGTTACTCGCTTGTGTCGCTTGGGGAGCCCCCCATAGGGGGCCGTGCCCTTAAAAAAGACACGGATACCACACCGCCAAATTCCTCATCTTTTTCCTTCGGGTACGAGTTGCCGTCCACTATTAGCCGGCTTCCTAAATCTTCCACCTCCACGATCCAACCTTCTTCCTCTGTGAGCAGTGGTCCATATCTCTTCTCGCGAAATCGCACCGCGCGGCCGAAGATGGGTAAAGACTTAATCTGATCACTGGGTCTTGCACCCACAGCGAGAGCTGCTCTGTTCCTCGGGTCCCGAGGCTCCACTGTCTCAATCATCACCCGTGTCCCGTCTGACTTCCTAATGGACAATGTTTGGCTCCCATGAGGTCGTTCTATCGTCACCGCATGCACGTGGGTCAGCCACGTTCGACCGAAGAGCAGGTCAGAGCTACAGTACTTGACTGTAAAGACAGGCAGGGTTACTCCTACCCCTTGGACCTCTATGGCTGCCTTGTGACAAACCCCAGTGATCTCTTGCTTTCTCCCATCAGCCGTCTCTATCTCGAATAGGTATGACTTATCGAGGCCCAGTCCAACTTGTACTGCCAATTCCTCGTCTATGATGACAGCCTCACTGTCGTTATCAATCACAGCATCGACTATCGCTCCATCGTTTATAATCGTCTCTACGGCCCCGCTACCAAGTATATAAAACTTGTCTGGAGGCACACCTTCCATCCCATCGAGAAGGACTGTCGCCATGCGATCCGCTCTGGCTGTCACCCCCGTTACCGCTACTGTAGAAGTTTCCGCTTTAGGGGCTCCCTGACCCTCCTCTGATAGAGGTATGCGAGTCTTTCGCGTGATCATCTGTAATTCATCACGAGCCGSCTTCGATGCCGCCAGGTACTCCAGAATAGAGCATTGCATTGGTTGCCGAAGGGCCCGCCTCAGTGGCTCAACCGTGTCAATCTCGTTCAGTGAACTCTTCATTAAGAACTTCTTGACTCCCCGTTTTCGCGGCGAAAGGATAACCTCCTCTCCATCGACCCGCTGCCCGTCCTTCTCCGCCATCACGTAATCCGTGTCAGTTTTCTTTGATGTAGACCCTCTCGCCGACTTGGTGGCTGCCACCCTTATGGGTGTGGTCGCCATATCCCCCTCAAAGGTTATCTTGATGCTCTGGCTTCTGACTGGCTCCATTCCTTTACTCGTCTTTATTATCCTTGCTTCAACATTCTCCTTCATCGAAGGGAACATCGATACATCTCCGAGATCATCTGCCCACTTGACGTACTTGCGGTCGTCAAGCACGACAAGTCCCTCTTCTATTGCCCGTTTGAGGTCCGGGCAATCCCTCTTGATATGATCTTCTCCTCTACAGTAGACGCACGAGTTCCTGGGAGTAGACGCCCTGTCGTCTGCGCCTCTAGACTTCGAATTCCTGCCCGCTTTGGGGTCAGGCGACTTGGGATATGGTTCTGATGAGACGCCATATCCCCCTCTCTCATTCCGACCGCGCGGATCGTTGCGCCGGTCTCCTCCAAACCCTCCTTGCTCATACCGCCCTCGCGAATCATCCCGGCGGTCCCCCGAGTTATATCGTCCTCGTGACTCATCGCGTCGGTCCCCTCGGTTGTACCA